CTGCTTTACTCCACACTGCCGTGACCCTGCATAGGTCAAGAACGCTGGCCGATGCCAGATCAACGAGATGGGGAACATTAACCACAGTGTTACCTGATACCCAAAAACAGGCCGCCTCCTCATACAAATGACAATGTGCATTTTGCAGTGTAATGTATACAAAGCATTATGGTAAACCATGAAGGTAACCTACAATCTCAACAAATAGACATAAGAGCTTAATCCACATACAAATGACAATGTGCATTTTGTGGCGTAGTGTATACTAAACATTACGGTAAACCATAACCATATAAGGTAACCAGACATATATGCTAAATAAATTCAGCAGAGGTAAGAAACCAAAAACCTTTGAGGAATCCATGACTGTGCTCATAGCCTTTTCCCCAGGATGGCTCATTTCTGCTTTATTACCATTTGAAAGAGGTTCTCAGCAGACTGATGATGCCATTCTGAAGCATGTGAATGGCCTTTCTTTGCTCTGCTGGTGAGTGTCACTAATTTACATCGTCTGCTGTCCAAGCCAAGGCCTCATATCTCCAGACTTCGCCGGATTCCTGCATAGTTTTGCAGTAAATCTTAATTAGGGCCGAGACACTGGGTGGGTTGACTTGGTGGGATGAGATTAGCGCCACACCTGCCTGGTCCCAGGAAGCACGTGGGCACACCCTGTCGCTCCCGTACCCCCACTGCATGCACGTAGTTCCGCCTTCCTTTGTTCATTTTCCAGAATGACACACGGCCATTTTTATTCATCCATAAATCCGCAGACACACCGAACGTAATAAGAGAATAATGGAAACACTCTGATCCTGTATGAAATGTTACCAGAATTTAGTCTGAAATTTACATGGACTGATGTCTATAAATTGCTTGCAGTGTGTGACTGTGATTATATGTTATATTATATTATATTGCACCCCATCCACTGTGTCCCCTACAATGGACTGGATTCATGTCCACTGTGTGTTCTTTATGGTGGCCTGACACCGTATTCATGGTGTCCCTAATTATGGGCTGGCACCCCAGCCACTGTGTCCCCTAGGATGGAACCGGCCTCTCGTCCAAGGTGTCACCTAGTTGGTGTTGTTGGTGCTTTGGAGAAATGAAAGAACATCTGTTTTATGTGTGAATGAACATAAATAACCTTGTGATTATGAATTGCTTCTGACAATACAAGAGGAGAGATTTTAGCTGAGATTCTTCCTGTATTTGAATGTCTTAACTCTCCTGCTCGCTCTTCTGTATTGTTTTACGTCTATGAATTGTCCAGCCTATTAATTCATTTTGGTGTGTGGGGTAAATTAAATCCTCAGCACTGAGGCACACATTACCCACCCACGCAGCCATCTTAATCACTGACCCCCGACTGCATTCATCTCGGCCACGGCACTGAAGGTCAGGCTAACCGAGTTTCCCTGCTGACAATTTTCTGCGACCTTCTGGTCATGGATCCGGGCATTCTTTGCTCCGAACGCGCGAGCAGGGTTCCGGTAATGAGGCTCCCCTGTCCTTCCCTGACGGGATCAGACTGACGGAGGTTTTCTCTGGAATCCGGGCCAAACCGGAGCTCCACGTGATTCCTGTAGATTTGGCAGCGGCCCACAGCCAGCCAGGCTGTTGCAGAGGTCGCTAATCCCGGACCTATACTCCTCTCCTTCCTACCTGGATTTCTCCGGAAGTCACTGTCCCTGTATACCACTGTATACCTGCTGCGGTTCAGCACCTGTGCAATGCCACTAGTTAGCTATCTCCCTGTGCTGATGAGATTGTCATGGAAACTATAACTCCTATTAGTCAAGATTCTCTGTTTGCTTTTTGTACATCAGTACAGGAACTCACGCCACCCAGTCAGTCACACGTAACATGTGGCAAGGTTAGACAGGACAAAACAACGCAAATGCACTCACAGGACATCAAAGCAGACATGCATTTAGGAACTGCAGAAGTGTGTATTTATGGAATAAACATGAAATAAATAGTAGAAACGGCCGACACAAGAAATATTGCTAAATGAAGTATAAATATCTGAAATAAATATAAAAGAAATGGCTGAAACAGCTAATATGGTAAAGTACAGTGCAATGCACAATATTGCTCTGTCCAGCAAAATGTACTGTGCAACATTCCCTGCGTGCTATAGGGTCTATTACTCTGTTTTAACCAGGGCAATCTGGCAAAACTACGTTACCAGAGGCAACATTAAAAAAACCAATTCAGCAGAGGCCTGGGGAGCACAGACACTTATGAAAATGGCTTCACGTTCGCCTCGCTTCTCCCGCAATAAAACAGCGAAGGAGGAAGGAACACTTACAGCAGCTTTATACCGTCATCTGTGAGCCTCTCGGCCATTTCTCTATCGCAGCTCTCCTTGGATCATTTAGATCCTAATTGTGAAACTTAATCCGTAACACATAACTGTTTTTGAGTCATCCGGCGGCAGTAAACGTGCCTTTCGGTGCGAGTTCACCTTCTCGGAGCTGCCAGTGACGTGCGCTCACTGGCCAGGTCCTTATCTCTGCGGGCTGCGATCTTTCGAGTGTGAATAGCATCTTATTGATTGGCATGAAAATGTTTTCTAATGTTGCAGATTAGGTTTGCGGCTTGCTCGCTAATGGCTAGATGGGGGTTCGTTTTCAGTCTATTTGCGAATTAAGTTCCAAATTGAAAATCTATATAAACATAATAAAGGGTGATTTCAAAAGTATACTGAAATACGGCTTATATTTTTCTTCATCCAACAGGGCAGGACTACTTGTAAAAACAGATATATCAAAGCTTTTTTGTTCCCTTTAGTGAAGTGCTGTTATATAAATCTTACTAATGAAGATGTAATTGTGTTTTTCTTTGGAGACTAATAAAATCAAACTTGTTCCTTCTGTGCAAATTTTACTTTTGATGTTTACCATAGAGGTATATGCATTATTGCAATAGATCGAATGATTATTAACATATTGAAGCTATTTAGTTTTATTTTTCTTATCCTTTATTTCATTCGGAAGGAGTTCAGCTGTTTGAATAACATGTTTCACATGTGTTTGTTAGCTGACATTGACGTGTGACTGTTTTAACATTAAGAATATAGTCTGGGTGGATTTTGACTTGGACCCTTCGAGCCCCTGGACTTAGGGGGGCCCCGAGGAAAGTCCCCCGCTTTGTGAGGGCGGTTCGTGGCCATTTTCAGATGAAGCCATCCCATAGCTATGGCGGTGATAGTTATTTAATAAAGCCCAGGTCTGTCAAAACTGCTTTGCTAGTGTGGTTTTTGGCGCCTTGAGGTCCCTTCCGTTACTTCAGTTGTCTCAAAACGTTCGTGCTCAGGGACCTGTGATGTCTCAGTCTGCCCATGAACATCGTGTTCCAGGCTTCTGAGAGAAGATGACTGTCTCTTTGATAAGGAGGCACGTAGATCTAGCCATGATAGATAGATAGACATAGTATTAATCCCAAAGGAAACTGCATGTTTACAGTAACACAACACACACATTACCATCAATAAACAATAACAATAAATAATAAATGATGATAAACAGTAACAGATCCTCCACAGATCTCATCCACATGGACAAAAACAACGTGGATCCCAGAAGAAGATCAGAGCGTAATCTGTGGAGCCCACAAGCTCTGATTCCATAGAGCTGACAGATCTTCCACCTTCACACTTTTGTCTGACTTTATTTGAGCTCTGTTGTTGCATATAATTACTGCAAATTTCACACTCAGGGTCAAAGCCGAATACCTCGTAGGTTTGGCAGGATGAGCTGGAAATAGTTGTTCTTTCTCCTGAGGTCAAAAAAGAGAGATTCTCTATTTTTGCTTGACTTGTTTTTTTTCTTCCTCCATCTATATATACCAAGCGTTCGGTGCCTGGAGGACAGTCTGTTCATCTGGAGAGCTTCTCCTACCCAGCATCACGTGTTGAAGACCTCATTCCAGTTACGTTTCGCTTTAGCTTGGGATTTTTGGTATAGTATAGGAAAGTGAAGATATCCTTGGATCATTTATGTATGTTTTTTTCCCCTTAACCTTGTCTCTGAATATAAAGACCCCTTTTTCATCAACTGTATGTAGGACTTCTCTGATGTTCTGCAGAAGTCCACCTTAATTGCCTCTCCGTGTCTCTCCTTCGACACTAACAACACAGGATGTCAGCTGGTGTTTACTTTTACCCGTTTTTTTCTTGGTGTGATGGTTGGCAATCATTCATTACCGTGATGAACAAACTGGATACATAAAGGGCCAAATGTGAATGCACAAAAAAAAAAAAACACCTCAAAGAGTTCTTTTAAGGAAAAGAGATTCAATTTCCATAGAATGTTTCTCTCTTTGCTGGTTACAGTGCTATTGCCAGAGTGGGCGGGGGGGGTGCATTAATGTTCTTTGAACCTTGCCAGTTAATGCTCTTAATTGGCCAAGTGCCTTTTCTCTCTAGTTGCGGTGCAGAACAACTTTTTAATCTTCCTGTTCATTGTTCATCTGTAAACATCAGAATTTACTCTCTTTTGTTCAAGGGTGAAAGATTGAGTGAGTGCAAACAATGGTAGAGTCCTATTAACATGTGGGCTATTCCTGGTGGTTTGTTGTGCTGTCTGTGAGGGAGATGGCCACCGTGGCCCCCGTGCCACGGACGTGGCTCTGAAGTTGCCCTTCCATGTGCCGGTATCAGTCCCATTTCGTGGTTTTCTGTGACACAAGTTAATGTTCTTTGTACTGCAGAAGGAAGCTGCAGAATATTTAAGCTTCTAGGGCCTTTACTCAGAGTGTGACTCACCGGTTTACGATGCTGTGCCTGCGATTGGAGGGATGTTGGTGCAAATCACAGGGTTGACAGCGATTCCACTTTTGGGCCCCTCAGCGAGGCCCTTAACCCCTAATTGCTCCAGGGACTGTCTGACCCTGCTTTCTCAATTGTATGTCGATTTGGAGAAAAGCATCTGCTACATAGCTAAAATGGAAAAATAACAGAACCTGCAACACACTGGTGTCTGTCTGTCTCGCAGTGCACGTCAAAGCCGGCACGTGTGAGGTCATTGCGGCCCACCGCTGCTGCAACAAGAATAAGATCGAGGAGCGATCCCAGACCGTGAAGTGCTCCTGCTTCCCTGGGCAGGTCGCCGGGACGACGAGAGCCGCGCCCTCCTGCGTGGATGGTAAGACCCTCCTCCTCCATCCTGCACCCCGGATTCGCTTCACATGCTGTGCAGACAAGGGGGTCATTCAACTTCAATTCATGGGTGCTGCAATTGACATGCATGGGCATGTCAAGCCGCAGTGTTTACCACCACTCAGTCCAGGCATTTGTGGGGCCCCCAGCTGGCCACGAACAGTCACTACACTTGGGGTTGGGTGGGATGACTTTTTGAGAGTGGCCCCAGAAACAGCAAACCATGCCACTGGACATGACAAACGTGGTGGACATCTGGAGAATCCTCTTTAGAGGTGTAGTAGAGGCACATTCTCAAAAACAGAAGCCATAACAACCCAGTTATTAAACTATTTCTCACTTGTGTGCTCTTCCCCTTATGCTGACATTATTTTGTACACTGCAAGGGCATGGATCTGTTGGAACGTCCCAGAACTTCTCCCCGACTGATGTCTCGATGGGCTCGGGGAGTACGTTATCAACGATCATTCAAACACGCCCACGCAGGGGCTTCTCAGAGACAGCAGGGAGGCTTAGGAGCGTCAGGCACGCGGCGTACAATGAAAGCAGAGTGAGCGGGGGCCAAGTCATTTAATACCGTGTCAACACTGTCCACTTGACAGCACGATCGATTTTTATCTTATTTTCCGTACTGTAACAGTGCCGGCTCAGCCTGCTGGCCTTTCTGGTGCTCGGAGCACACGGAAATGTCAAATGAGCCCCGATACCTTTCCCGGGCTCGGCCTCTGATGAGCTGACCTTAAAGTCGACACCTTGGACGTTCCTCTCCATGCTCATAACATGCGACCATGACATACGAAGCACTGAACACAACTACAGGAAATGCATTGTGCTAATTGACCTTTTTGGTCCTTCCCAGCCTCCATAGTTGCCCAAAAATGGTGGTGCCAAATGCAGCCGTGCCTCGACGGGGAGGAATGCAAAGTGTTGCCGGACCTGACTGGCTGGAGCTGCAGCACGGGTAACAAGGTCAAGACGACCAAGGTGGGTAGAAGGGTGAGCTTGGGAATCTCTGCAAATCAAGTGTCGTCTGACTTGGCTGCTATCTGGGCAGCTTTTGGTGATGTATGTGTCCTAGGGTATGCTGACACATACATCCCGGCCAGCAGAGGTCATCATAATAAATCAGGCGTATTTTTGGAGCTGAAGGAGCAGCCAGCGATGGTGGAAAATGCCTGACACAAGAGTAGCTATGTCATGATCAAAGATTTACAGTATACATAAGGTTAAATAAACATACACAAAAGTACAAGTCAAAAAAGAGTTTGTACAAAAGACCATAAACCAAAATCCAATCCAAAGTCAGAACACCCTTTCTCTTCCAATCTTCTGGTCTGCTTTTATCCTTTCCTTGACGGAGGTGGGACTTCCTCCTTGTTGGCAAATCAGAAGTTTCTTCCAGGGCCAGTAGCTTGTAAAACAGATCTCTGCCTCGTCCGACCACTGATCTACTAGTTCTTCACCTGTTTACCCTGGTTAAAATCTCTCAGCAAGACTGGATGCTCTTATGTTTTTCTACTAGGAACATAGTCATGGTGTCCTGATTTGAGCAGCTCTTCTGTTCAGCTCTTACAGTGTTTTATAATATACAACTAGCTCCTGTTCGAATGCTAACTTGTACTTGCTAACTTGCCATGGTGTTCTGATGGTATCGCAGTCGACCGTGACACCCTTTTTGAGTTTGCTCAGCCTTTAGCCTGTCTGGCTTTTTAATGCGTGAACCTGCCCCTGAACGTGGTTGGAATTATTATTTGCTGCATTAGAGGGTTTAGTAATTGGTGGCTGATTCACCAGCTGGTCATATTCTCCTCTGGCTGGTTTGAATTTTGGAATCTCCTCATAATTTGTGCCCAGACCCTCCTCCCCCTTCCCCAGGGTCGGAGAGAGAGCCCCCTGCTCTCTCGCCCTGAGGATCCCTGCCGCAATTAAAGTTTGATCGGGCTCGTTAATAATGCAGATGGCGTATCTCAGCTAATCAGCCGCACGGTGGTTTGGGCGCGGTACGCAGGGAAGAGGGAGGGCTTCATAGCAGATCGTAACTTAAGGAGGAGGAAAGAGGAACAGAACTGCGAGTCGTCTTTGCTGCAGAATGCTTTTGCCAGGAGTAACAAATTGTGGGCCGCGGAGGAACATATCATGTTTAAGGTACCCCCCCCCCCACCACAGAGGCAGAGAATTCGAGCTCCATCTTAGCTGGCCTCAGATGTGATATTGCTGGAGGAAGACTGGCCTCCCTTCTGGATTACCGTGTGAAGGAACATGGAGAAGGAACATGGAACATGGAAAAGGAACAAAGATGACCAGCCTCCCTTCTGGATTACCGTGTGAAGGAGCATGGAGAAGGAACATGCAACACAGAGAAGGAACAAGGAAGACCTATCTCCCTTCTAGATTACCCTGTGAAGGAACATGGAGAAGGAACATGAAACATGGAGAATGAACAAGGAGTCTCCCCCCTCGATTGCCCTATGAAGGAACATGTAGAAGGAAAATGGAACATTGAGAAGGAACAAAGATGACCAGCTTCCCTTCTGGATTACCCTTGAAGGAACCTGAAGAAGAAACAAGGAACACAGACAAGGAACAAGGAAGACCTATCTCCCTTCTAGATTACCCTGTGAAGGAACATGGAGAAGGAACATGAAGCATGGAGAATGAACAAGGAGCCTCCCCCCTCGATTGCCCTATGAAGGAACATGTAGAAGGAACATGGAACATTGAGAAGGAACAAAGAAGACCAGCCTCCCTTCTGGATTACCCTGTGAAGGAACATGGAGAAGGAACGTGCAACATGGAGAAAGAACATATACAACATGGAGAAGGAACAAGGAAGATCTGTCTCCCTTCTGGACTATTCTGTGTAGCAACATGGAGATACTCACGCTGGAGATGAAGCTTTCCTCAAGCCCCGTTCCTGCACTCTGGTGGTAGCATCAGTCAAACCCAGTGCTTCATCTCCTTGGTGGATCCTGCCTGGTGTGTCAAGCTTTATGTGTGACAGTGCGGGCCTCTTGCCTCATGTGTGTGTGTATGGGGGGGGGGTTGATGGGATCTGCTGGATGATACAATACAAATTGGTTCAAAGCCGAATGAAAGGGCCACCTCTGCTGGATCAAACTATGACTGTCCATGGCTCCAGGGTCCTAAAGACCCCCAGAGACCAGCGGCGTTCCTGCAGTTCCGAGATGAGGGATTGCCGAGAACTTTGCATCAACACCGCTGCCACAAAGACGGTGATTCCTGCTGTGCTCAACAAAGCAGCTTCTGTTGTTTCTCTCTGTACCTAAGGGTCTCCGCAGCTGTTTGCTTTCACTCCCCGGGCAAAAGGGGGAAGGGTGTTTATCTGCCAATCCGACCTGTGTGCACTTTCATCTGGGCTCAATCCTCCCCTAGCCGGCGTTTCAAAGCCGACCGCGGACCTTTTTGTGCGAGTCGCTGTGCATCTTAAGGTCGCTTTGGCTTCTGAAGTTAGGGAGATAGCATTTTGGGTCGGGGGTGACGAGCAGGAGCCTGCGGCCCGCCCATCTGCCTATGTCTAGGTCCTGACAGAAACCCAAAAAGAACCTGGTTACTGAGAGAGAAGCAAAACAGGACAGTCCCATATAAACAAACCAGTGACAGCAAGGGACACAGCATTGCATGACTCTCAGTGACCTGACACTATCTCCCAAAATGGCCACCGTAACTGGAACATGAAAGCCTGAGACAGTTGACTAATATAATTTGTTATTGCTTAATATTTTTATAGTTTGGGAAGTAACTGATGTATTCAAGTCAGTTTCATTTTGTCTCAGACAGGGGGAGCTGGTGCTGAAGCTTGCTTAGGTTGCCACCTGGAATGGACTGGGATTGTTCATATTTATATACTTATATTGACTTACAGATTCTGAAGAGTATAAATTATCTGGCTAAGGTGACGTATCTTAATATGCCTTAACGTTTTTCAGGAGAATTTACTTTATTGCTGTAATTGAAAACAACATATTCATTATAATCATGTGAGATGGTTACAATTCTGCACTGAAATGGGGGGATGCTATCTGTCTTTCACATTTAAAACTACTTAGCTACTTATTTAGAGCAAATTTATCTGGGTTTAAAAAAAAACACAACTATAGTACATGGAATGGTGAATATTGTATTACTGACCCATATTTATGCCGGTAAATTAGCAGCTTACAGCAGCGACTCTTTACAAAGAGTCGTTTAATGTGGAAGGTCGAGCTGTTAATATTGTAAATGCTGATTGAAGGTTTGTAGGCGGTTACAGGCACTAATGACGGCTTCATTGCTGCGGACCCCCTGCTCCATTTTAGCAGGGAATAAAGTCATTTGCAACGGGAGGCGGATTCTTGAAGATAAATGCGCCATTAAAGGAGGCTTTTCCACGTCGTGCCTTTGATGCCTCTGAGCAGATGTCTAATGTGAAGTGGCGGTTCCGGCCGTGAGAGGAAGCGGGTCCGGACGAGCTCGGTGCCGGTGTGGTGCCGGATGTGAGCTCGGTGTCGTCTTTAAAATGCAAAGCGCTCGCCTCTTTTCGCCTTTGAACTAAAGTGCATTTACTAAGTAAATGCTCATTGTTTTCACGCTTATTTATTTTAAATACCCTAATGGACCATTTCGGAGTATATTGCCCCTGTATTTAGCCTGACTGAAGTGAAGTGAAGTTTGTATTCCGACGTTTGTTTTTCCTTTAATTCTAAGTCAATGTGCTCAGCTTGAAAAACAACACAGACATTTCGCGATATGCAAAAGACCTGGACATAACTTGAAAACTGCATATTACATGTAACAGCTAGTTTAGTAGCGTGCATATAGGGGGAGATGGCAGCTAAAAGTCACATGGGCAATTTATTCTGTGACGAGGTTATTGGTGAGAAATGTTACAGAAAATCACATCCTACATTTTTTTAAACATATACACGCGATTGCTTTTCATGAGAGAAGCAGCACTCTGAGGTAACCGCATATTTTGTCATTTTGATTTTTGACCAATTATATGAAAAAAAAACTAATGCTAGTTTTTTATGTTTTAGAAACCTGCTGTTTGGTTAATTGTAAAACTGGCTCATGTTAAAATGGAGGAATTTGTTTAGCTATATTTAAATAAATCATCCAAATCATAGGCTAATAGCATGGTTGTTAGAAAGGCTGCCTTGGGAACGTAGTTATTTAGTTAATTTTCCCACCCGGTCAACGTGGATACGCACAACGGTAGCGACATGTTAACGCGCCTGTAGGCCTGTTCGCTTACCTGGTGTTGTGCGTCAATGAATATAATACCACATCCACATCTACATACCCAGTTTGTACTACTGTTCGCTTCTGTAACCCATCGTACATCCTGACTTACAAGTTCCATTTATCTGACCAAATTGACCGCCTCTGCCAGCGTTAAACTCCCGACAAAGGTGGATGAAGTTACAATGAGATTAGGCTACGTGTGTTTGGGGCAAGTTGTCATTGTTACATTTTAACAGGCTACCCAGTGTGTTATTTCTTAGACACTTTGTTGGCCATCTGTGGATATATAGGAAATGCACTGAAATGTTTCTAATTTGATAGTGCCAATGAATTATTTCAAACACGTCATTGCCATTGTATTAATTATTTCCATTTTGATCTATTGCCTTTTTCATTAACACAAACCCTTCAATCTAAACAGGTTTAAGCATATCTATTTCTTTAATGAAATAATTGTGTAAATATGAGATTTTTTTTCAATGTTCTCCAGTGTGTTAGTTCTTCAATTCAATGGATTCTTATAGTTTTATAGTTTCTATATATATTTTATTCATGAATAAAATGTTGGATATTAAATTGTTGATTACAATGTCAATTAATTACACTATGACAACTTGTCCCTGACGTGTGAGGGGCACGTTGTCAAAAGATACTTATTGATAATTAAATCAATATGAAATTAGCAATGAATATACCGTACAATGCATATTAAACTGTGCATTAATCACTTGTCTTTCTTCTGGCACGGTTATGACCATTCAACGAGGCTGCGTTTTCTAGTAATTCTGGAAAAACTCAGAATATTAAATGAGACAAAGTTACGGTTCCCCCAGCTGCATAAAAATATTGTGATTCCTATCACATTAAACATAAGTAACAATCGGATTTATGAAATATTTGCCTTTAAAAATCACTTTAAGTATAAGGCAGTACAGTCACAATCATAAATATGAAGTCGATCTGCGTTACGCACACGGCTCCTGAACATTCAACCACTTAATTTTAATTTATAAATTGCTCATCGCCAGACAGAATTGCTGTCGAAAGTGCTGGAATTTAACCAGCCTAAGCCAAGGATCAAGGTTAGGAGGAACCTTACAAAAAAGCATTTTCACAAAACGCCCAAGACTGCAACTGAAGGGGATTGCTTATATTCCCTGCAATTTTCTTGGTCGTTATTAAGGGATTACCGAAGGAGGTTTATGAGAATTGTTACTGGGTCAGCCTTATGTCTCCGAGCGACTGCGACTTACTTTAATAAGACAGTACATTTCCCAGCTTTTTCCGAAAAGGAGGAGACGTTGCAGATATCTGGGCTTTTTTAAGTCGGAATAATCACAATGTAGTAAAATGCATACGGTAATCCACAACGCAAAACCAGAGTACGGTAGTTTAAACCGAAAAGAAATCAACCCCAAACGACAAGTTAAACACGGCAGAAACAGAAGCTTCTCAGGTCAATGCGGGCAAACTGCAGAACGTGCATGCAATGCAATGTAATCCTGTTTGTATACAATATACAACTATTTAATTAAGAAAAGTGTGAGTAAAATTGCGAAGCATAAGGGCACAAGTAAGTTCTCTCCATTCAATCCTTGTCGCCCCATTTATGCGGGGTCATAAATTGATATTGACAGTGTGGCCGGTGTAGAGCGAACGTGATGAATCGAGGGTATAACGAAATCTATTTCCCTCCCCGTTCACCGTCGTCGGAAGGCGAGAACAAACTCAGCCGAGGCTGCTCCTTCAATTTCTCATCTTCCGATGGAGCCGGGACTCGATCAATGGCAAATAATATCATATGGATGAGAGGACACCATCTGCTCCTCCCGCCGTCTCCCATTCCGGGGGTCCCGGCGACAAATTGGTACCGGCAAATTCTTACAAACGAGGTACAAAGGGAAACAGGGGCCGATAGGGGTTCGAGGGTGTGTTTTTTTTTTTTACTCTATGTGCGTGCCTAAGATTCACCTGTGAGAGTAGCTGGACATGTGGAGAAACACGTGTCCGATGCTGAAGGATCGATCCCGGGAGTAGATCACGGCTGCTCGTCTCATATGCCGCGAAGTAAAGCATCAGCGCTTATCAGGTAGTGCTGCTTATTGACTAAAACAGTATCATAAATAAAAAAAACACGCATTTACTCTCAGTGTAGCGGCTCGCATTAAGTATGTATTACTATTATGTAATGTATATTGCACATTTCAATGTGATGTACTTCTCGCCAATGTAATACGTACGTAGACACGATGGGGCTGACAGGACTTAAGATGTTGGTCCTGTTGGTAGTTGTAAGAAGATCCATCAGCCTTGTGTGTGTGTGTGTGTGAGGGGGGAGGGATCCCGGCCTTGATGTAGCAAACATGCTTCAGATGAAACCACATTCCGTCTTCTACGGCCCTTAACAAATTGACCAGGCGCCTTCCGCAGGAGGCAGATGGCCAGGGGATCCTACCCGGAATGTGGCAGGAATACGCACCGCTCGGGTGCGACTTGAAAGTCCGTCCATCGGTAAGATGGCCATCACCTTGGCAAGATCCCCGGTGGTGGAGGAGACATGGAGCACACGGCTGTGAGGGGCGGGGTTTCCCTGTCAGGGTTAGCTTGGGTAGCGCTGTCAGTCATGATAAATCGCAAGACGTATTGATCGAGATCGCGCTGCCGGATGATGAGTTACACCAAGTGCCCGACCTCTTAGTCAGGTGGTACAATAATAAGATCGAGTCAAACAGCTTCGTTAATTTCTGTTAAGGTGCATTCTGATGGGAGTCATGGTACGTGTTTTTCAGCTTTATAATGTGCAGATATCGGTATTTTAAATTTTCTTATTAGTATAAAATATAAATCCTTGTGAATCCTGCCTGCACTTTCTTTCGCTGCTGTTCTGTGAAGTATCCATGAAGAATTCATAATAATCAAACAAGCTTTCAAAATGCCGACTTTTTAAGAAGTTCTGCCCTGCGGTAAAATACGACGAGAGACTGCAGCGTTTCATTCATTACTTATTGTTTAACCTTTTTTTGTTTTACTAATATCCAAATACCAAAAAAACCCACATAATTAAATATTAATTCTTTACTTAAGTTCTTTTGACCTGAAACATTTTTTTTAATAACAATATGCTTTATCTCCCCTCAAAGCAGTACCCAGCTAGTTCGTTGTAGAGTAAAAGGACAAACACTGAAATAATACTTTCCATTGAAAACGTTTATAATATGGTACCAAGCTTTAAATTCGATAGAGTACGTGTCTGTATTTTTGTGCTAACTTGTTTCTTTTTAAATCTTTCACTCTTGTGATGTAGTCCATAAACAGTTAAAATAATTCAATGCACTTTGGCGTGTTTCAGCATACTCTGATTTTCCAATTAAAATGTGCACCCTGTTTTTCATTTGCGTTAGTTTTGCACATTCTGCTATGACTGGCTGTCTGCAACAGCTGACCTCATCCTGACTGTCCTTTTGTGGCCTTGGGAGGGAACCTTTGTTGGCTGGGGAAGGGGCTGGGGGAACGGATCTCACGCGCACATTCCATTCACTGAGGCGGCCCTTGATGAGCGTCGGCGGCCTGAATTCTAAGCAGACATTTGATGAATGGTGAACTTTATCGAGGACGTCCCCGATAATGGAACCGGCTCGCATCTGAGCACGCTCCCCGCGGCTGTGTGGGAATCGCCGGAGGCGTGGCCTTGCATGCAGATCACGGCCAATGGCTGCTCAGCGTTGGTGGGTGTCTGCTGGTCCCATTTTCGCTCGGCAGCCTGACCCGGGGGGTCCGGTCTGTCTTATTGTGTACGATGTGGGCTCGCTGATGTCAGGGCATTATGTTTCCAGGTCAGGTGACTGCACCGAAACGCAATTTTAGGGTCCTGCGTTATCACTCCGTGTGGTTATATTGCACCACGCAGATGGCCCATCTCAAGGATCTGCACCAGCTCGCTTGCAATATCATTACCCACCCCAGCTGCGGTCCATCTAGCAAAGTAATCTTTTTTTTATCGCTGTAACCGTGTGCTGTAATATTGAAGGTCAGCTCTCCTTTATTATAGAACTGACGTAGACATCTAATTCCTCTCTCCTATTCAAACTCTTCCCTGTGGTCCCAGGCTCTTGGCCTTTGCTCCTCACTTCGATATTTCTTGGCTTGTTTTTGTGCAACTGTAGAGTCACGTTTGGAAAACACCTGACATATCAGGACTTTAGTTTTAAATCACACACATGTGCATCATGAAAAAGTATCTGAACAGAGCAAAACAGAAGTTTTAAATAAAATGAACTACATACTTCTGATGTCTTGATTTATACTGTGTATAAGTTTGTGTTAAATGTAAACATACAATGTGTACATTTTCGCCCTGGGTGACTTATATGTTTATGCTGGAGCTATGTGAGTTTTTAACTGACCTTCTGCAGATTCTACTTCCTGTGTCACAACGTGCACTTCCTGTGTACTGACTCCATGATGGCACCGCCCAGAAAATGACTATCATAACTGATGTCTCCTTTTTCTTTCAGGTCACGCGATAGTTGCACCCTTCGAGACTCCAACGCCCAATGAAGGATGTCCGTTTTTTTTTTTTTTTTTAAATACACACGTACCCACCAACCTATAAATAGCTATACAGAATATACTAACAGTCCCAAGACTGAACCACCCCCTGTCATGGCTGACTGGGGTTCTTAAATGCCAGCCCTGTCTTTTGCAGAATATCTGCAGATGGACGAGAGACTCACTGGCCTAAGTATCGCAACGACAAGACTTTTCAGACGTCAGCCTTTATCCCATAAACACGTGACCATGAAATCCACCAACGAACTGCCACACCTTTCCCCTACCATGCTGATGAAATTCCTTCACGTTCTTTCCATGGATCCGGCTCTGGATGAAAGTGACTCTCTACTGGGTTGGGATCCTTTGAAGCGGAACAAGCTGGTCAAAGACGAGGCTGATTATCTTAAAAGCCAGCCCAGATCAGTGGCCTCCATGCTAGAAGAATTCCACCCAAGGACACTTACACTACTTTTTTGATTAACTGAAGCATTTTTTGTCTTTCAAAACAAGATTTAAAATATGAGACTCTTTCCCTTTTTGAAGAATCATATGGGCTAAAAATTATTTTACAAAGGGCCTCCTTAATTGCAGAATGATAGAATAATCCAAGTAGATGTTATAATAAATGTTTAAACGTATAGGACTGTAATATGTGATTCACAAAATTAATCAGTCAACTAAGTCAAGCTCCACCAGTTTTAATATCTGTGTTTTTAAAGCCTGGTAAATGCTATTGAGTACATGTGTCAGTATTAGCTCAAATAAAACAATTTCAAATGAAAGCAAATCCTTTCTTTTTAATTAATGAGCTTTTAATCTGATGTTTTTGTGGGTGGGGAGTTTGTGTGGTGTTACAGAGTACAGCTCTATAATCCTGGTCCTGGAGACTAACTTTGCCTGGTTGTATAGTCCCTGCTTATTATGTATGTGATATGTTACATGCTACAGTCTTCTCTGGGGGACGGCTCACTGGGTTAGGCCTTTGAACCCCGTGCTTGGCAGAGTAGCCGCATCTCCATCGGGCCATTGTACAAGGCCCTAAACCCCCCCAGAAAAATTCTCCAGCGTGCTGGATGGACGGCTGACCCTGTGGTCAGATCCCAAGCTTCACTCTCACCTCTGTATATGTGTGTGTGTCTTTAAAAAGGAGAGCATGATGGGATATGTGACCATTAACAAATGTCATACAAAAGCTTATAAAAAAAGCTTCATTCATGTATATATATACATTATATCCATTGAATTTCCATAATGCTTATTTGGTGCAGGGTTGCCTTTTCCAGTCTATCGTTGCATTGGCACTCATATGGGGGCACACAATAGGCAAATTAGCAATGTGCTTCTCAAACCACATTTTCAAAATGGTGTCAAATGAACAAGTCTTTCAGTCAACTGTGAACAGGATGGAAGTCATTCATGCATTTTTATAAAGTTTAATTATGTGAACTGGTGTGCGCCCTCTGATGCATACAGGACGGTCCCCCCCCCCCTGGGAGAGGCTGCAGTTTAACACCCAGACCAGCATCTGCATAAGTGCTTATGGAAGATGGATGGAGGAAATGATGGTTAATTACGTATTTTAATTTAATGATTCAGATCTAAAAAAAACTGATGCATTGCTCCTTAATATCAAAGGTGAAATGCAGACATACATGTGGAGGTGCCCAATGAACTGTAGCTTCACCTGGATGAGGAGCGTGTTCCTCTCTAAGACCGTGATTTAACAAATCTGTTACAATGCATGGAATACATGTCATCCTCATCTTCTTTGTTTTACTGTACATTGCTGCTTTTATTTGGGGGGGGGGGATTGTTTCTGTGCCAGATTCACCTTGACAGAATTTGCATTCAGTATTGAGACTACTAAAGGCTCGTCAATGTGGCTGCCTGGAGAAACAATAAACTTAAGCGAGATAAAAACGAAAAAGGTGAGGCAGAAGATATTAGCATGACATCTTCTGCAAGTGCTTTGACAGGGGTAATTTATAATTAGGCTCACCTGATGGTGGGGGATTATTTACGGAAAGTGAGATCACAGGCTCCCTTCTCCGATGAGTTGGTAGCTCACAGAGGGACACGGATGCTCACAGAGCAACAATGGATTTCATAGAGGCACCCAGACACACACAGAGACCCACAGGTGTTCACAGAGGCGCAAATATGCTCACAGAAGCACACAGGTGTTCATAGAGGCACAAATATTTTCACAGAATTACATACGTGCTCACAGAGGCACACAGGTGTTCACAGAGTACCAGTGTACTGATAATAAAAGTATGAATATTAAATAAAATGGTTTATTTTACCTTTAGTGATTAGAACTTGTTGCAGCAAAAACATTGTAGGATATGCTCCTTATAGGCAGAGATAGGTTGAAAAGAGAGTGTTCACTTCCGATTATCCTCACACAGTTTTTACGTCCATGTATTTACAGAGAGTGATGCATCTTTCTAACAAACTATCTCAGGACACTTTGCATTCTGCCAATTGAAAATGCAGACAGCAGAGAATTAATATACACTCAAATTATAAAACAAATGTTATTGTATCCAGAGGGGAACTACTGTATAACCTCAAGTCTAGTTATCGCATCCAAGTCTGGTTCAAGTCAAAAGTATCTGCCATCATGTCCAAGTCAATTCCAAGTCTTTCCATCAGTTTTACCGAGTCCAAGACATCAAATTTGTGAGTCCAAGTCGAGTCAGTTACTCGAGACCCCACCTCTGAATGTTACCAATATTATTATAGGCCAAAACGCAATGCACCTTGAAAAATAAATATGAAAACAAGTCATATGCTTTGCCTTGGTTTGATTAATTCAATATACAATTTTTAAAAATGAAATTCTTCATCATCATGCAAGTTAAACAATGTGAACAATTAATTTTCCTGGTGGGAGTGAAATCTGGTGCCCATTTTCGTATGTTTGTGTGAACTGTACATAAAACAAATTTCAAACAATTTTACACCATTTATATCGTTTCATATTTTTGGTCTTGGTATTGGATGCTTTGAGATGAGATTGGAACTAACATCTTTCATGTCTAACTCTAACGTTTGTCTCAATAGACCAGATCATGCATCCTTAGAGAAAATGGATTTGTTCATCTATCCACTATAAGTAATTGACTGTCCAATTGGCAAAAGATACTGAATATCAGGAAAAGGATGCAGAAGGCTGTTCAGAGGCACTAGCTCTCCCAGAGTGGGTGGTTTTGGATTTTGGCAAGAAATGGGAGGAGCACGGGCGTCCTTAGGTCTGATCACTATAGCCCCGAGTATTTTAGCCCTGATGCCAATCTTCCTTCAAAAAAGTAATGTCAAGTCACAGGTTAACTTGACTCAGCCCCAGATCTTTTCAATAGCTAGAAACTCCCCTGGGGAGGAGCTGGAAAAACCCACAAGAAAACTGTGAAAAATACTCATCCCTAATTTTCACTTTGAAATTAGTTTCAAAATGAAATGAAATTTGCACGGCACGGTGGCACAGTAGGGGGCGCCATGCCCTCACACCTTCACCATTGGGGGTTTGATTCCTGCCCTGCCTTTGTCTGTGCGGTTTCCATGTTCTCCCTGTATCTGTGTGGGCTTCCCTCTGCCATCCAAGAAACATGCTGTTATGGTAATTGGTGTTTATACTGCAAATGGTTCGTTGTGTGTGTGAGCGCGAGTGTTAGCCTGGACGCTCTGGTGGACTGGGCGTCCCCTACTTCATGCCCTGCGTATTTCCTGGGAGAGGCTCCAGGCCCCCCTAACATGTTTCAGAAGCTAAATAAATAGCTAGTGAGTAGACTCAGGAGATGGTAGCTAGCTGGTTAGCAGAACATGCTACTTCAGCATCTTCTAAATAAGGAGCGAGTTTATTTAATATTTAGTGTAGTGACTGTTTGTGGCCAACAGGGGGCCTCATGCAAATGTGTGCCTTGACTGGTGGTAAAGACCACCACTGGTTCCATGCTCTCAGTGACCCAATAATGGAAGATGGACAGAATGAAATGTGAATGCTACTTGGTGATTAATAAAGGGATGAAGATCATGTTGAGCATGATAGCATCCTTATATGTCACTTGGAGCATTTTAAGCTTTTATGGAGCTCATAAAAAAATTACCTTTTTTTCACCAAGTAAGAAAAGCCACAGATAGAGAAAAAAAAAAATTAGAAAATTAATGAATCGCGTAAAAAGAAAATAATGTATCAACTTAATGGTTCCAACCTCAAAATGCTCGGCAGCTTTCATCGATACATAAACATTGCTCGCGTTATATTCGTTAAACCCAGCGCAGTAAGACGCCTTTCTCATTTGACTAATCTCCCAGTGGAATCCGCTCTACGGTTTCAAGCTTTTAAGAAATCCAGAAAATGCGGGTAGCGCATGTCATTAAAAGATTATCGAAGGCAGGGAGGGTGTGTCGTTGGCACAACCAGTCTGGGTGGTGGTGAGAGAACGGGCAGAACGGGCCCAGCGTGCGCCTGCCTGGTGTCCCTGTGGTTTAAGGTTCCATGGAGACCTCCTTGACTGGACGTTCTCAGATCTACTTTTGTTTCCACATTGAAAATCATGTCCTTCAACCCCGTAGCTGACAAACATGAGCGCCATGAAGAATGAGATATTAATGTGAGAAATTGTTGGGGAAGTGTATGGATGCTATACCTGTGACCGGATGGTCATTGGTTCAAATCCCCTGGTCGGCAGCATGAATTCACCCTTGGACCCCTGAGCAAGGCCAGTAAGCCCCAATCGCTCCTGGAACTGGCAGACTCTGCTTTCTCAAAAAGAAATACATCTCTTTGGATAAAAGCATCTGAGAAATAAGTAAAATGTAACATTGGAACATTCAGCCACTTCATTAAAGTATGTATAACTCAGAAATCTGGTTCTAATTATTATTTACTATGAACCTTTCCACACAATTCTATTCAAAAATGCTAACTTTTGAATTCCCCTTTGCCCCACCCTAAATAACCCTACGCAGGAAGTATTTGTGTCCTGTCAGGGTGGAGCTCAGGCACTGAGCTGGATGCCACGCTGCATAGAGGAAGTCACGAAGGGGGCCTTTCGCAGCGGCTGCATGGCAGGGGGCAGGATTCTGTGGCCCTGGGAATAAACGTTACCATGTAGGAAGATACCGGAGGAGGTGGACGCACGCAGCAAGCGAAGTGGCCGAGCAAACGTCGTTTCCACGAAGAGGCCCTCAGGTCTGAAGAGCCATTAAATAAAAAGGAAAATAGACAGGAAAAGATTATGTACAGTAGATCAAGAGGGGCTTCAAATTAATGGCATCTGAAGCACCAAGCGGTGCAGATAAGTGCTGCTGTCACTTCCTGTAGCTGCGGTGGCCACACCCCCCATAAGTCACACGGCGGGGTGCTAAACTGCTCACACACGCACGCACACACACACGCCTCCATACCACACACTAAGGGCGCTCCATCTGTTTCTGTCTTCTGTCTCCGCAGGTGTGTGCCATTCCCACATTTACATTGGGGGTTGCGGATTCACCCCTAAAACCTCGCATTTGCATGGAGCTCCTAAGTTTTGGGCCCCCTGTTGGCTATGAACAGCTACTACACTAGGGAGGGCAGAGGGCCCCAAGTGACATTTTGAGTGGGGCCCCAGAAACAATGAGCCCACCTCTGATTATAAGGTCCCCCATTGAGGGTCTTTAGCCTGCTGGTGATGTACCTCTGGTCCCTACCCTGAGTTTGGGAGCCCAGGGTTCGAGCCTTACTCCTGTGCTGCCTCCATGTTTTCCTCACAAACAGTTTATGTTCATCTCTCAT